AAAATATTAATCTAAAAAAACTCAATACTTTAAATTTAGTATTCTGAGTATAACAACAATTTGTTTAGTTTAAAATCATGGTTATTAAACGGATTTCAATACAAATTTCTTATAAATTTATAAAAAATGATTACGTACAAATTTAATCTTATTATTATAAATTTAATTAGTATGCTGGAAACTTATTGATATTTAGTTATTGTTAGAATGATATTTAATTATTTTTATTTAACATAAAATTTTGCGCAAGTCAAGATATAGTTTTCCACTTACATTTTGAAACCATTAAATCACTAACTTGTAGTGATATTTTTAAATGATTAAATTTTGTTCCATAGTGTATTGCAAGTATTAGAATGGTATTATTTTTCTAAGACATTTTAAAGAGGCGTTATGCTTTCGATGAAATTAATTTGAATACTTTTAGAAAAATAACATTAACTACGGCACAACATAATTTGTTTATGAATTTTAAATTCGGATTTCAAATAAGCTAACGAGTTGAAAACGACATTGTACACCAACGTTATATTATACAACGGCGTGTGCACATGGCCACAAATATAGCGTGTATATAATTTATTACTATCATTGGTATAAAAATTATATTATAATGTCACAGTTTAGCTTTATATTAATGTATAAATATAAATATGTATGACGTTTGTATGCACACACTATCCAAGTAATTGGTAATGCATTACTTAATGACAACGGTTTTTTTTTCTGTTAAAAAGTGGTTTGATTTTTTTTTTTAATATATGATATTATTACCATTATATAGTACGTACCTAAGTAAGTTACTTTCGAATTTATTAAAAAGTTATAATGGGATGAGTGTTGGCGTACATTATAGTATGATTAAATTTTGATACATACTCGTATGTGATATACGTACCTATATGAAATGTTAAGAGAGTAGAATGCAGGAAATATTACACATTACAATGTGTTCATTGATTTTTTTATACTTTCAGAAGTGTATAAAACTGCTGTAAAAGGAAGATCCATTGTTCAAATCGCATGTGCACTTTGAAAAATGTACAACCATTTTCTATACATCTATTGAGTAAAAAATATTGAGAAAATTACTGTCTTAGTTTTAAAAAGAATCACATTTTATGTAGATTTAAGTACTTTTTTTGTCAATTCCAGCTGTTTTTAGAAATTTCTCTCTAAACGTATTAAAAGTAAGGAATAAAACATGTATTTTTATAATTGATTCTTATTATCACAAATGTATAAAAAAGACACAGAATATTTTTTAATGTAATATGTTTAAATAATAATGATATTATAGACATAATAAATCTTAATCAGATACGAGGTCAGTGATCAGCGATCTTGATTCGTATAATGAAATAATACCTATTAATCGGACTCCATATAAACAGCGACGTGCTGACATATAACTTTAGTCGAGGTAATAAATATGTTTAATATAATTTAGATTGTTACGTTTTGTCAATGTTGCGTATATCAGTAAGTAGAGTACCATAATCTTTACAGTATTTGATGTCGTCAACAACACCAAATCACTATTTTTTCGACAGCGGTCGTCCGGACTACAAACGCTCGGGGCTAGAGATAGGAAATGAAATATACTTATTCTTCTTAGGAATTCAATGTACCTATATTGTAAATTATATTTGGGCTGCTACGTTAAATCTCGCGTATTTGATTGATGGACAACTTGTGTTTTTTTTTTCACGTTTAGTTATACTCGCTGAAGGGTTTGTTAGCATTACAAAAATGTGTATTTATACTTTATACAATGACAGACAAAAAAGATCCATCCTAGATTCATGAAAAAATATGAACATTGATGAAAAATCATTGAGGTCAAAAGCTGAATATTATTTAAGCATATTATTTATATAAAAAAGGTAAATTTTAAGTTGGTAGTTTAACTTAAAATTAGCTATAGCATAATATTATTTATTTTGTATTATATTTTGATAATTTATTGTATGTAACTTATCAGTTTTATTTTTCAGAAATAAAATATACGAGTAGAACATTGAAAAACAATAATATTGCAGTGTTCAGCCTTATATTAGGTATACTAAAATGATTTCGGTTCACATATTTTTAACAATTTAATTTTATTATTATGATTATTTTCATGAAAATAAAGCAATATAAAATAAATATATTTTTTAAATATTATTCTGTTTATAATATATAAGTAACAATATTTTGGAATTAAAAAAAAATTATTTTATACATTATAATACATTATATTACATATAATCCAATTAATATTGTTACTGGCTATAGTTAGGGATACACCTAGGTTAAAATTTGCACACTGGGATAACTTATATCATTTTATTTGAGCATTTTTACATTTTATTTAGAATTATTCACTATTATTTCGGGTGTAAGTAGGATATTATGCTAAATGTCCTTGGTCATATTATATCTATTCAAACTTATCTTTGTAATTCCTTTACTTCCGACATTTTCTACACAACGCATTAAAATAATTCGTTAAAATGTACTGTTATAAAAATAACATTTAAGAATAAATTATGTTTTGTAATGACGTAATGTCATAGTCCACTGGAGATTAAGTAGTAACAAATCCTAAGTCAAATTTCGAATCAAACGATATTTTATTAAATAATGTACTCAATAATTTTTTTTTTTCTATTGAAAGGTTGTAGTTTTATTTAATTTTTTTAGAGTATATAATTTAGAATATATTTATAATACGATGTTACCATCGTATATAAGTAACAACTGATAGAGAACTTAAAATTTTTTCAACATTAATGTTTATTAGTTACTAGAATAGCGCATATAGATCAAATACTTAAAAAAAAAAAAATTAAAATTTTTTAGTATTAGTTTGAAAAGATTTTATCTATTTCATTTAAAATGTGTTGTTATTAGTGAAATGGACCTTTCTTACAAGAACTAATACAATGGACAATAATAATTAGTGAAACATAAGAAATAATTATTGTTGAATATAATTATTAGGCCAATATAATATTATATATTACATAATATGTACTCGTATATTTAAGATATTCTACATTAATGTTGAATATTTTAGTACTATAATGATAATATTAAAAATTTGATGGTAACTGAAATTATGTATTTTACTCTGTTATACATTTCCTGTTTGCACCTATAAGTTAATAATACTCTAATATTTTTTTATCGTTTATTGTAGCATATGCAGAATATTTTTTAGGTAGGTATATATATATCATTATTCCGAATGATTAAATAAAATTATTAATTTGCCTATCCTTCTACTACAATTCGTATACCATGAAATGTCATCAATACCTATATTATATTATGTATTGTATATATGTTGATGCTCCAATAGGTAACAATTCAAAATATATTTCAGCCTAGTGATATTAAATTATAATAGGGTCTTAGTATGCCCAATGTAAAAATTAGAAGTTAAAATTTTGAAAATATTTCAACTGTATAGCGCCCACATGAGTTAAGGGGAAAACGGGAAATATACCCTCCAAAGTTTTCAAAAAAATGTTTAAATATTTCGACTATATTTATTGATATTTTTACTTTGGTACTGATTTATAAACTTGAAATTAATAGAAAAAAAGTATACTAAGAGATTTAAAAAATACGATTATCATTTGGAAAATAATTCATCAACTAATAAAATTGTTATTCGTTTGGTTGAATTTTTATAGGTTGGCATTGAATTTCTAAACGTATTTTTTTAACTTTTAAAATTTACGATCATGGTGTAAATCGGATATCGCATTTAAATTTTATTTTGACTTTTATCATCATGCTACTTTTGATGAAACACGACCAATGGATAACATACGTATATTAAATACTATTATTATTTTACCTATTGAAATCGGTTTAATTATCCAATTACTATTATGAACATCAGAAATTATATTAAAAAATTGATACGTATACTCAAGTTTCAGTTAATATAAATAATAACATAGAAATGGCGTGTAATTGAAAATATTGTACAATTATCATAAATACAAGAAATAAAGTTATTATTGATGTTTTATATTATGAAAAATATATAGAACCTTCTACGTGGATAATTTTAGTCGTATAACACGAAATATTTACAAGCATCTATTTATTGTAATATCATATAATATGGGAACCTAATTTATTGTAAAACATGTTGAAATATTTGATTTTGTTCCATTCTTTGTTAATGAACCAAAACCCTTAAAACTTCTATTATCTGATATTTTTAAAATCGCTATTAAATGAAACACACACACATATATATGTATATATTTATTTCTAATAAATTTAATTAATGTAATAAAATCATAATTATAACGAAAAAATTTAGATTCAAGTATATAGAATTTTGGGTGGTCGATATCTAAAAAAAAAAGTTCTAGTAAAAATATCAAATGATTAAGTAACGATTAGTTTTCACAAGATACAATTATTATAATGTTTCTATTTCTGTTTAATATAAATTATTATAGAATGTATTCATCTTCAAACATCATAATTATATATAAATCAACCAATGTATATAGTTCAAAAATTCTGTTAATTATGATATTATTATAGCATAATGTATTAAAAAGAACCAACACCGAAGAATATAAGAAAATATTTTTTTTAGTTTTTGTACCTATTTGAACTTGATGGATCATCAGAGGCACGTATTTTATTGCTTTTATAGAAAAAAAGTCGACTGGAAGTAATAATTAATATTTACGCCAGATAAGCTTATAAATCGGATTTGTGGGCAGAATGGATTTAATATGGATAAGTGTCGATAATTTAATTTATTGTCAATGTCAAGACTTACACAGGCTATAGATCATCACACAATACGAAAATTATTATAAATATAAATGCATAATTTAAAAAGTAATAAAGTAAATTTTATCGAGTTTATTTTAATTATTTTAGATTTTATATTATAAATAGTGTTAATATGATGAAATTATTCATGATTTCAATCATAAAAATATAATATTAATTATGCTCATTTATAGACTCGCCTCATTTTCGGTAGTTCACAGTATAGCCATTCAGAAGCGTCTTCCACAGTAACGCGTCTATGGTCGGCTGGCAGGTCAAGTTTGTTACCGGCCACTACAATTGGCAGCATTTGGTAGTCTTCACGCTGTTCGCGTACTTCTTCGAAGTTTCGCTTGACTGTCTCGAAAGACCGTTCGCAATCAATCGAATAGACGAACAAGAATGCGTTTGCATTGGCTATGCTTAACCGCCGCATGGCCGGAAACTGCGGGTTGCCGCACGTGTCCAAGATGTCCACCTTAAAGAACATAATATTACTTGTTATTTACTTAAAATATAATTTACTATCGTCAGAGATAATTGACTATTTTGAATTTCGATATTAGCAATTTTGGTAGCGCATTTAAAAATAGAGGAAATCCTGTTGTGTAAATCTTGATGAAGTCACTATTTAAATATTAATGGAGTAACGTATTTAGAGTAAATCTTAGGTGGCTAGTATTTAAAATATCTTGTATTTAATTACTAAATATTATTCTATATATTAAGGATTTATTTTCGTTTTTAGATATTAAATGGAGTAATGAATGAATTGATTTTATAATGACGTATGTTATTTTATGTCATATCACATTTTGGAAAGTAAAAATGTTTTGATTTTAAATTTTGGAGGTGTTTTTAGTAGAAAATTAGATGTAGTTGATACTTTGAAGGGTTTAAAATAATAAATTAACAGTATATTCAAAATAATAAAGAAAAATTTTCAATTTTTTTTACTTTAAATATTATTTTCGCTTAGTCAAAAAACTTGAAGATGTAATACAAGGTTATTTGTATATTGTTATGATTAAAAACAAAAATAAAAATCTATATGCAAATTTTATTAGTTTTTGAAGTTAAAATTTTAACAAATTTTACTTAAATCGCGAAAATTAGTAAATTATTTTGTAATTGAAAATACATAAAATGTTTTGTATATTTGAGATTTAAAAATTGAATGCAGGGTTTTTTATATACATTTTTAAACCTAGATTAAAAATAAAGTAAACCTAGATTAAAAATAAAGCCCCATCAGAAAATCGAATTGGTTTTTTAATGGACGTTTGAAGTTGAAATTTTGACAACATTTGTCTAAATCATGATAATTTACAAACAAAGAATGTGTTGTTGTAACAAATTTATAAAATTTTCAATTTTTATAGTTAAGGTATGGAAATATAATATAATATTTCTAAGTAATTAACACTAAAATAAAAAAAAACTTAAAAAATATATTAACAAAATATTTTTTTTAGACATTTGATGTTTGAATTTGGATAAAATTATATATTTTAATGATGAATAACGATGTTAATTATTTTATAATAACTTAATAACATTATTCTAAGGGACTTAGAACTTTTATATAAATATATATTATAATGAATTTTACTCTAAAATATGGTATTCAAAATATGTGGACATGGAGTAGGTAACCATTTAAATTATCACATAAATTAATATTTTAAACCTGGCAATGGACCGGAGCAATAAGAAAAAAATTAAACATAAGCCATGACATCGGAACAAGTTTATGTCTAAACCCAGAAAACGAAATCAACACAATAGAATTCTTTAACGCATTTAAAATGCTAAACCTACCTACTATAAGATATTAAGACCAACAATATTATAAAATTATATATTTTTTTTTGTTAAATGTATTGTCTAAAAATGTAACGCTAATGGTTCTAGTTATCAAAACTACTAAAATTTTAGCCCAAATTAACTTAATATTAAAATGATTTATATTTAAATACAAGAATTGACATATTTTGAAAAATTTACAATTCATGGCTTAGGTCTATATTATAAAAAAATGCGCTGATCGCAATAGTTCTCTTCGTGAGAGGTTGGTGAAGTGTAAGAGGGTTGTTGAGGATCTTGCATGTTCCGGTGTATTTGGGAAAGTTGATGACTTGCTTTATTGTTAAAGTTTCATTGAAAGTACCACATACTAGCGTTGATTCATCTTTGATAAGGTAATCATGTATTGGATGGGAGTGACTTATTCTAGCTCGAGTGATTTTACTTCCTCTCTTATCTTAATATTAGGAGTATATTTCAATTTTTAATTTTATTATTATATTATATAATTTTATACTTCTTAGTTTGTTGAAGAATTTTGGTATTGTGCCAGAAAATTAGGTTAAATTAGTCAATTATTTACAGTTACATCGTATTGCAATCATTTGAATCGTTGTAAAACTTATTTGAAAGAAAAAAAATAACCAGATATCATCATATTACTGCAGTCTCTAGTGTATTATTTATTTAGTTGTAATAACTAATGTCAGTGAATTGTATCAATTATATCCAAAGAAATTAATAGAGTTATATATCTGTAATAATCTGATGGCTCCAGTTATTTATTAGATACATTCTCATTGTTATAAATAGATAAATTGATATCATCGATATCATGATTTTATAATACAGTTACCTATTTAAATGAAATTTTAAGTGTCGTCAAGGTTATAGCTGGATGTGGTGAGATGATAATTAAAAAAAGAAAAAATTGTTTTAATTATTTTAGACTTAGCTTTTACGTTTTATTTTATATTATATGTTGTATTTACATACTATACGTACGGATCAACTAAAGTATATTTCAATATAGCTGTGTAAGATGCATCATAGCTTATGTGGATTATCGAATCGACAAATATTTGTGTTATAATTAGTGCATACAATCATATACTTTAAATAGCTCTATTGTCATGTAAACGATTCACATGTAAATTTACTATGGGTATAATATATTGTTGAACTCGATAGCGTTTATTAGAAACACAAGTCGGCGTATATTTTATCACGAGACAATTCAATGTTACATTTGTTATTTCGATTGAACTTTTAAGTTGTTTAATATTGAAAACACAATATTGTTCAAAACTATATACATACATATATATATAATGTAGGTACTGAAGATGACTGTGTCTTTGGAGATGATAGTCGCGTCCACGAACGACCAATAAATACTATATTTGAGTGAAGAAAAACCAAATGTAGACGTGATATGATTTTCAATGTAACAAAACCGTTTTTACTACGTGCATATCGACTTTAGTCCTTATCTCCATATATACCTACAGTTACGTGCCTTTACATATCTAAATATACGTTTTCATTTTTTTTTTTTTTTTTTTTGAAATGTTAGTTAATTTTAAGCTCACATTTCCTACTTATTAGCCATTTATTTTTACTCAAATAATGTAATTTAATTATGTATTTATTCAAATTTTTTTAATCATATGATTTTTGTCATTTATAAGTATACTTAAAAAATATATTTTAAAATACTTAGATTTTTTTTCATTATTGAAGAAGTACCTTGTGTCGATAAAAACTTCTTCCCCCCTCCCCCTCCAAATAAATGAATAATTAAGAGATAAAATGCTGTGAGCATAGGTACTTGAAAAATTAATCACTATGTACGTATATTTCTATAAACAGTATAAACACTTTATGCTACAAAAAATGAAATACGAGGGGTTGAAATCCATATCTCTGTAAGTCTTCTGTTACGTGACCCATATTTAAACTCTAAAAATGAATTTAATTTTTATTTTGATGGTTTGAATATATTATACCATGTATTTTAATTCGTTTTTATCTACTTACCCCCCTCCATCATAAAATAGGTAATTAAATATTTTTACCCAATTATTTTTAAATGCGTTTATATTTGAATATCAATTATTGTTTTATTGAATTTCTTTCTTAATAATCATGAATAGTTATTACAAATGGAATTCAGGCATTCATCATAAAATATGGGTTCTTTTTTCTAATTAGCTTTATTTATTAAAAAATAATACGATCTTAGATACATGCTAAGAAATATATAAATTTTACACATATTGTAAGATTTTTGATTTGAAATATACTTTATGCGTTTATCATAAAATCTAATTAAGTCTTTGCCTATATATCAGAAATACTCAAGTATCTGTTTTTATATAATTTTATTTGATATGCAAATTTATTCACAGTAAAAATATTTCAGTTAATATTATATATTATTATTATCATAGTTAATGTGATGATAGTTTATAATTTAAACGTGATTTAAATATATTAAACTTTTTATAAGATCTGGGCTAAAAATTCTGTAAAAATTCATAAACTACCTATAGCAGTTAGCATATAAATATTTAAATGTTCTTTTTATGCAGAAATAAAGGATAAACGTTTATGATTAAAATATTATTTGTTATAGTTTAACGTGAAAAAAAAAATTAAATATAAACGCACAGATATTACTATAGATTATCTTAATATGTTTAACACGAACTGTAAAACATCAACTATATTTGTTTCATATACGTATATTACATAATATCAAAAACATAAACTTTAGCACGTGCACAACGTACAGAAACAAACAAATTAAAATCCTCCATGAAAACATTTTTTTGTCGACGATTGAATATTATGTTTTATAGAACAATTTTTCCAGAGTTTTTTTTAATTGAATGTTTTACTTTTGCCTACAATTGTATTGCTATAGGTGCACAAAACACAAAAATATCTAATAAACACATTTAAAGTCAATCAAAAGTCTTGTGATAGGTAATTTTGAAAATCGCATATAATAGATATTATTATCATATTATATAATAGATGTTAGTAATTATATTAATTTTTATGAGATAATATGATATACTAAAATTGTAGAGAATACGCATGATTTATATAGAGAAATGGAAAGTGAAAATTAATGTCTGTTGACTGTTGTACATACTCGTATGTATTAACGTATATTAACAATATAGTGGTGTACGATCGTGAGATGATTTGTAGTGTTACTATTATTATCTACACTACGACGATTATTGCTAATAATTATTAAAATATTTGATGTTACACTATTGTTACGGCCACACCTACGTATTTATCACAGACAATAGGTTAGCAGCTGTGTAACCAGTAACCATAGCTGATAAGACAGTAAGAAAATATTCTATAGTTAATTTAAATGTTTTTAATTTAAAATCGATGATTAATTGTTTGAATTTAAAATGTATTTGTGTTTATGAAATTTTATCAGGTACTAATATAATATAGTAAGTAAAAATATCTTTTAATTTATATTAGAGGTGTTTTTTCAAATGCTATTCAATGTTAGGTGTATAATTATATTGAATGCGTACCAACATTTTGACTAACAGTTATAGAGTTATATACTGAATTGTCAATAAGTCAGAGGCAGCCAATCAAGTTAGAATAATTAAATGTATAAATGTATATATA